GTCTAGTTCAGTTCTAGTTCAGTTCTAGTTCAGTTCTAGTTCAGTTCTAGTTCAGTTCTAGTTCAGTTCTTTAGTTCAGTTCTAGTTCAGTCTAGTTCAGTTCTAGTTCAGTTCTAGTTCAGTTCTAGTTCAGTTCTAGTTCAGTTCTAGTTCAGTTCTAGTTCAGTTCTAGTTCAGTTCTAGTTCAGTTCTAGTTCAGTTTAGTTCAGTTCTAGTTCAGTTCTAGTTCAGTTCTAGTTCAGTTCTAGTTCAGTTCTAGTTCAGTTCTAGTTCAGTTCTAGTTCAGTTCTAGTTCAGTTCTAGTTCAGTTCTAGTTCAGTTCTAGTTCAGTTCTAGTTCAGTTCTAGTTCAGTTCTAGTTCAGTTCTAGTTCAGTTCTAGTTCAGTTCTAGTTCAGTTCTAGTTCAGTTCTAGTTCAGTTCTAGTTCAGTTCTAGTTCAGTTCTAGTTCAGTTCTAGTTAGTTCTAGTTCAGTTCTAGTTCATTCTAGTTCAGTTCTAGTTCTAGTTCAGTTCTAGTTCAGTTTAGTTCAGTTCTAGTTTCAGTTCTAGTTCAGTTCTAGTTCTCTAGTTCAGTTCTAGTTCAGTTCTAGTTCAGTTCTAGTTCAGTTCTAGTTCAGTTCTAGTTCAGTTCTAGTTCAGTTCTAGTTCAGTTCTAGTTCAGTTCTAGTTCAGTTCTAGTTCAGTTCTAGTTCAGTTCTAGTTCAGTTCTAGTTCAGTTCTAGTTCAGTTCTAGTTCAGTTCTAGTTCAGTTCTAGTTCAGTTCTAGTTCAGTTCTAGTTCAGTTCTAGTTCAGTTCTAGTTCAGTTCTAGTTCAGTTCTAGTTCAGTTCTAGTTCAGTTCTAGTTCAGTTCTAGTTCAGTTCTAGTTCAGTTCTAGTTCAGTTCTAGTTCAGTTCTAGTTTCTAGTTCAGTTCTAGTTCAGTTCTGGTTCAGTTCTAGTTCAGAATCGTAGTTATTTCAAGTTTCAAATCATTCGCCAAAAACAAAACAAATTTTGATTTAAATTCACGATAAACAAGTCTCGTGAAAACTATTGAATCTATCAAACATAAAAAACAACCAATACCCAAACCATTTCCGCTGATTTTAACAATACTCGTGATTTTTCAGCGTTTTTTCTTATTTTTAAAAAATTTCAAATACTTTAACGAATTCTGGCAATAAATTCTTAAACATTTTTTTCTACTTCAATGAACTTGAGAATGATTTAAAAATAAGTGAAAGCAATGTCTATCTCTAGTTTGTCGGTTGGTCTAACTCGTCTGTCAGTCTTTAGAAAAAAAGAAGCAACAAAAGATAAAATTCAAATATAAAGTATATTTAATTGCAAAAAAAAAAAAAATATGTTTAAAAAAATATATAACAAACTACTTGTAATTGTATTGTGCAAATTTATGACGTTATAATTGCCCCAAATATTTAATAGTTTCTGGTTGGTGTATTTTTTTATTTTTTTTTTTAAGAAAACACATTCTTTATAATCACACAATATTTTTTTGTATACATATAAACAATTTTATGACGTATACATATATAAACAAAAATATTTTTTTAATTTTACATATATAAACAATTAATGTTTCAATTAGATTTGGTGGGTGGTGTGTGTAAGCGATTTTTAACATTGAAAATTGTAAACAATGCACTGTTGTTTTCCAAAGAAATTATTGAAATTTTGTTTAAAAAAAAACATTTAATTAAAAAGATGAACAATTGATATTTTGCTCGAAGGATTTAATTTAAATTTAATAAATATATTTAAAATATTTGTGATCTTAAAAGATTTTTTGCCCTTTGCATTTGTAACGAACATTTAAAAAAATGATTATTTAAAGATCTCCTAAGAACTACTGGGACTCAAGAACACGATAATTCTCTTTGCAGATTTATAAACAGATAACTGATATTTTCTCTCTCATTCGATCAATACTTCCTTGGTATTACCAAATTATCGCAAGCGATCCGATAAATAACGATTTTTATCTATCACTTTTTTCCTTTAAAAATAAAGCTGTTAATTCCTTTTGTATTATTTTTCTTTGATTTAATGACCTTAGGATAGGATCGTGACTTGTTCTTGTACTGAGAAAAATTTTAAGATTAAAACTTACAGTGACATTAATTATATGTTTCTGTCTTTCCCTATTGAGAGAGAAAATTTTTTTCACTACGAGAAATAAGCGACTTTTTCGAACTGTAAGATATTCTCAATTGCGAGAGGAAAATTCGTAACACAAGGTATTGCTCTCATTACGTACACGTGAAAGCAAGAGTATCTATGCAGATCTTCGTTGATAGCTGGTCCAAACTGCTTCCCGATAAACATTATTATTTCTTATTAAAAATGATAGTATTTTTGTTTATTTCCAGCAGGGAACACACGCAAGATTTGGCAAATATTTGTAATTTTTATCGCTCATCAAACAATATTTTTCATTGCGAGAGGGAAAACTCAATGTTTCAATAAAACGCATGAATAAACAAGATTAGTTGTGTTTTGTTTGCTATCAATGAGTGTTAACGCTTAAAGTTAGCAACAAACGAACATTACCTGACTTGGCATCACTCCACAGAAGAAATCTGCTAAAACTTGAAATTATTTACATTTTCTTAAAAAAGGTTTTTTTATTTGATATTTTTTTTGATTTAAATTTTATTTTAAAATATTTTTTTATTGTTTGACATAAACACATTAATATTTGTATTTTTATTTTTGAATTGGTAGCACTTTTATCGACGTTAAAATTAACTTGTATAATTTTACACGTAACTCCTAACGTTTATAAATTTTAAATTTATATGAAATTGCCTTTGAACGTTAGCAACAAAACACAACTATTATAAAATTAAAATGCGTATAATTATATTCAAATATGTACATTAGGGTAGTCTCGACTACAATAGAAAACCGAAGTGCTAAAGGCAGTTCAATTCTTGTTCTAGTTCAGTTCAAGTTCAGTTCTAGTTCAGTTCTAGTTCAGTTCTAGTTCAGTTCTAGTTCCGTTCTAGTTCCGTTCTAGTTCAGTTCTAGTTCAGTTCTAGTTCAGTTCTAGTTCAGTTCTAGTTCAGTTCTACTTCAGTTCTAGTTCAGTTCTAGTTCAGTTCTAATTCAGTTCTAGTCAGTTCTAGTTCAGTTCTAGTTCAGTTCTAGTTCAGTTCTAGTTCAGTTCTAGTTCAGTTCTAGTTCAGTTCTAGTTCAGTTCTAGTTCAGTTCTAGTTCAGTTCTAGTTCAGTTCTAGTTCAGTTCTAGTTCAGTTCTAGTTCAGTTCTAGTTCAGTTCTAGTTCAGTTCTAGTTCAGTTCTAGTTCAGTTCTAGTTCAGTTCTAGTTCAGTTCTAGTTCAGTTCTAGTTCAGTTCTAGTTCAGTTCTAGTTCAGTTCTAGTTCAGTTCTAGTTCAGTTCTAGTTCAGTTCTAGTTCAGTTCTAGTTCAGTTCTAGTTCAGTTCTAGTTCAGTTCTAGTTCAGTTCTAGTTCAGTTCTAGTTCAGTTCTAGTTCAGTTCTAGTTCAGTTCTAGTTCAGTTCTAGTTCAGTTCTAGTTCAGTTCTAGTTCAGTTCTAGTTCAGTTCTAGTTCAGTTCTAGTTCAGTTCTAGTTCAGTTCTAGTTCAGTTCTAGTTCAGTTCTAGTTCAGTTCTAGTTCAGTTCTAGTTCAGTTCTAGTTCAGTTCTAGTTCAGTTCTAGTTCAGTTCTAGTTCAGTTCTAGTTCAGTTCTAGTTCAGTTCTAGTTCAGTTCTAGTTCAGTTCTAGTTCAGTTCTAGTTCAGTTCTAGTTCAGTTCTAGTTCAGTTCTAGTTCAGTTCTAGTTCAGTTCTAGTTCAGTTCTAGTTCAGTTCTAGTTCAGTTCTAGTTCAGTTCTAGTTCTGTTCTAGTTCTGTTCTAGTTCTGTTCTAGTTCTGTTCTAGTTTGTTCTAGTTCTGTTCTATTTCAGTTCTAGTTCAGTTCTAGTTCAGTGTAGTTCTGTTCAGTTCTGTTCTAGTTCTGTTCAGTTCTGTTTAGTTCTGTTCTATTCTGTTCTAGTTCGTTCTAGTTCTGTTCAGTTATGTTCTAGTTCTGTTCTAGTTCAGTTCTAGTTCTGTTCTAGTTCTGTTCTAGTTCTGTTCTAGTTCTGTTCTAGTTCTGTTCTAGTTCTAGTTGTTCTAGTTCTGTTCTAGTTCGTTCTAGTTCTGTTCTAGTTCTGCTAGTTCTGTTCTAGTTCTGTTCTAGTTCTGTTCTAGTTCTGTTCTAGTTCTGTTCTAGTTCTGTTCTAGTTCTGTTCTAGTTCTGTTCTAGTTCTGTTCTAGTTCTGTTCTAGTTCTGTTCTAGTTCTGTTCTAGTTCTGTTCTAGTTCTGTTCTAGTTCTGTTCTAGTTCTGTTCTAGTTCTGTTCTAGTTCTGTTCTAGTTCTGTTCTAGTTCTGTTCTAGTTCTGTTCTAGTTCTGTTCTAGTTCTGTACTAGTTCTGTTCTAGTTCTGTTATAGTTCTATTTCGTCCTAGTTCTAGTTCTGTTATAGTTCTATTTCTGTCCTAGTTCTAATTCTATTCTAGTTCTGTTGTCTTGAAGCCTCCCTAATCCTCATTTTTCGCATTGAATGGTAATATCGAAACGTAAATAATAATTTTTGTGGGTTATTTGAAATAGTTAATGATGATCAGATACAAAAACAATAAAATTTAATTGAAAAATATTAAGTATTTTGCGTTTTTTGGGAGATCTACTAAAGAATGAGTACCACGCTCTAAACAAAATACAAATACAAGTGCGTTTCTGAGTATGTACCTTTTTTGACTACAAGAAAGAAAATTTGAAAATCGTCTAAAAAAACACACACATGAAATAATTGAAATCCGCTAAATGATCGTCTATAAAGTAAATATGTATGTTTAAATGTGTGTAAATTATTTTTTATTTCTTTTTTGTTGTTTTAATTTAAACAAAATCTAAAATCTATATTGTATTCTATATGTATGTAGAAATTGTTGTTAAATTATTTTTGTTAATTTGAACTTGTTTGAAATTTATTTGCAGAAAATACCGACAGTTACGACGGGCTATGATAACGAGAAGCATAACGGCTCAGGAATAATAACGCGTCTGTAAATCAAACAAAGTATGTTTTTAAATCATTTTACTATAACTAAAATATTTTACTATAAAATACGGTTGAAAAAATATAAAAAAAAAATTATAAAAAAAATATAGACTAACAATTTTTTTAAAACTATAAAAATTTATATACTAATCGGTTGTCGGTATTAAGTAGTTGTAAATAACTATATTTTTATATATACATAATTCCTATATAAATAGACTTTATAAAAAGTCTTATAAAAAAACTATAAGAAACAATGTATAGAATATTGAAAATGAATCTTCAACATCAATGGTTTGAAATGTATACTTCTTCGGATAGATTCATACGTTCGGATATGGCGGATGTACGGCTCAACAAGCCGCAGGCTCAACCCTGCCCTTAGTGATATCAAGGAAAAAGGGTGGCAGTGCAGATGATTCCGAAGATGTCAATTATAATCCATTCGAGCACCGGAAAGTCGAGCATCCAACATCGTAAGTATTGAAAGTTTTGTTAGTACTTTTAAGTTTTTTTTTTGATTGAAAAATATTTGTATGCAAAAATTTCTCGGATTTTAAAAGAAATTTAAAAACAAATATTTTAAACTTGTAATGATTTTCCCGCATTTTAAGATAGAAAATTGAACTCAAATTTTGGCAAAACATTTGATCGCCTTTTATTTTATTCTTGTATGATGACTAATACAAAGTCCGTCAATTTTGTGGACTTTAATCGAAATCATCAAAACAATTTCCTTGCGACAATCATATTTGTTGCCAAATATATGATTTAGTCCTAATGACAAAATTTTCCATTTGTTGGTTGCAAAATTTTAGATAGGCTGCCAATTAATTAATAACAGATTTAATGACTCAAATGTGCTGATATCAAAAAACTTCATAGGTGATTCTTAAATTTTAGTTCAGAGAGAAAGTCAATCGTCACATACTGTCGCCGAGTAGTCAGAGAGTAGACACTTATAACTTATTTTATTTTGACGTAATATTTCCGAAAGTAGTCACTTAACCGCCATTAGTAATCGATGTGATATGCGGTTGCATTCTCCAAAGAGCCAATTGACATATAACCCTAAATGAAAGAAAAAGTTTCGGACCATATTCCGTTCTGTAACATAGAGAATGTCTAAGGCTTAACGTGAACACCTGCTTTAATGGCTTTATTTCACGGTATTTTTTTTTTCATCCATTGGTAGACTTGAGAGCGGTCTATCACACGCCCCTGAATCCTTCTATGAAGAACTCAGGTGGCAATTTTTGTACATGGCTGTACCAGTCCATGTATAAGCACTTTGCTGAAGTACTCGAGCTATCTAATCTCTTGCATACTAGCCCAATTGCGGAATGACAGGCAGCATAGGATTAATCCCAATACAAACCCCGACAAGGAAAAGCAATCACTGTTCTAAAGTTAATAGAAGTGGAGACAGCCCCAACATCAGGTGAAATCAATCTAAAGGTATACCGAAAGGTGACCAGCCTTTAGATGTCATGAAAGATTACATTATTTGAAAATGCAATCCCCATCAAGTAATGACCAATTCCAGGTGCATTCCTTAACATTTAATTGCCACGACAAGTTGAGTAGAAGGCCCCCCAACCATAAGTCGCGTATCATGAAACAATATATATCCTGTTGAGATGGCAACAGCACCGATAACTTCCCTGAAGTAAAAGGTCTACTAATTCAGTACTAGTCTCATCTCGGGCAGAGAAGTCTTTCCCGATCGTTCACCAGCTTACATCAGTTCCATTCTCAGATCATAAAGACCGATCTACGGAATGAAATGCAACTACCAAGTTGCAACCTGAAAATTCCCCAACCTATACTGGCGCCCTTCTACGCGAAAAGTAAGAGATGCTCTGTCACATCACCCAGTGACATCTGTTGAGATGGCAACAGCACCGGAGAGAGAAATCTAGACATATGATATATCAGTCTTTAAAGGAGGAAGGAACCTCAACCAACTGACCAGGAATAACACCAATATGGAGATTTCACCTAGGCAACATGCCCCCGGGGACACTGTAACATAGAGAGTTGAAGTTTTGTTGTCTCTACTGGGGGAAAAACTGTGGTTGTGATACAGCTGTCGCTAGGTGGACAATCTGTGGGCGACTAGGGTAGGTCCAGAGCAATAATCCAATTGTCGTAGGAATGTCACTCCTCTCTGTTTCTCTGTTTCCCTGTTCTCTTTAATGGCGTCAAGTTTAGCAGTCATTTTTGCCTTTGATTAAAAGTGAAAACGGACCGGGAGCATTTCTATTTTGATCTATATGGCTGGGTTTGGGTAGATATTGCCGGATCATTTAAGTCACTTAAAATATGATTTTGGATTTGGAAAATTAAAATCACTTAGTCTGAACTGAAATCAGGATAGCGTTTGCTATCCTGATTTTACATGTTCTCACGCCTCAACAGGTATAAGAGCAAAGAAAATCAATCGAGAGCTTGTAACTTTCTGTCGATGACTGATCTTCAAGATTTTATGATCCAGAGCAATAGATCTAAGATGGAAGATTTACTTTTTTTGACATTAACCGCTTGCCGGAGAATAATGATTCGGATGTTAACTTAATGTTGTTCAATATCTTCCAAATTAAGAAGCAATAATTCTAAACTAATTCTTATTCACAAGTGCTCATGTAAACCTAAACTAATGGTCTTCTTAAACTATATGTATATATTTTAATTGAGTTTTATCCGATTATTCGATTAAAAACCAAAGTTATGCAATAATTTTGACGGATATTGAATTTTAACAACTCATTAATGTTTTCATAAACATTTTTTGAAATTTCATTTAACATTTGTTTTCTTCCACGATGATTGATTTCCAATTTAAAAATTAAATTTCTCTTAAGACTTTAAGAAAAAAAAAATCGTGAAAATTTTCCATTCTTTAAAAGTAAATGTAAAAAACCAGAAAATAAAATTCATTCATATGAAACGAAATGATCATCCCCCACGAAGTGAAAGCTGCATGATAATTTTTTTTTGTTTTTTTCTGAAAAAATAAGCGGAAATTTTCCACTTGGACAAATAACATGTAAATGCAAATGAAAATAAAAGAAAATTTGTCGTCAGAACAACAACAAGAAGGAAAACGAAAATAAAAGAACAGCAACAAAATAATTTTAAAAGAAAAGACCTTGGTCTGAATTTCTTGCCAAAAAGTTAAGACATTTATTACACAGTCGAAAATTGCATTAGAGCGACTATTCTGTTTGTTTTGTTTATTTCTTGACAAGAAGAAAAAAATTAAATAAAATGTTTTACTACTGTTGAACAAACTGATTTGATTGCCTTCAGATTTGAGTATACGACGCCACCACAATGTATTTATGGCCCACTATACATACATATGTATAAGAAGCAATTACAAAAAAAATGTGCATAATGCATATATTTAATTTTTAAATATTACATGCATAAAAAAATTGAAGTGAAATGAGCTATTTTTAAGGAAATGATCGATTTTTGTAATACCCTACAGTTCGGATTTCAAATGAATTCTTAAAAGTTTTCAGTTAGTTAGTTAGTTAGTTAGTAAGTTAGTTAGTTAGTTAGTTAGTTAGTTAGTTAGTTAGTTAGTTAGTTAGTTAGTTAGTTAGTAGTTAGTAGTTAGTTAGTTAGTTAGTTAGTTAGTTAGTTAGTTAGTTAGTTAGTTAGTTAGTTAGTTAGTAGTTAGTTAGTTAGTTAGTTAGAGTTAGTTAGTTAGTTAGTTAGTAGTTAGTTCGTTAGTAGTTAGTAGTTAGTTAGTTAGTAGTTAGTTAGTTAGTTAGTTAGTTAGTTAGTAGTTAGTTAGTTAGTTAGTTAGTTAGTAGTTAGTAGTAGTTAGTTAGTTAGTTAGTTAGTTAGTTAGTTAGTAGTTAGTTAGTTAGTTAGTTAGTTAGTTAGTAGTTAGTTAGTTAGTTAGTTAGTTAGTTAGTTAGTTAGTTAGTAGTTAGTTAGTTAGTTAGTTAGTTAGTTAGTTAGTTAGTTAGTAGTTAGTTAGTTAGTTAGTTAGTTAGTAGTTAGTTAGTTAGTTAGTTAGTGTTAGTTAGTTAGTTAGTTAGTTAGTTAGTTAGTTAGTTAGTTAGTTAGTAGTAGTTAGTTAGTTAGTTAGAGTTAGTTAGTTGTAGTTAGTTAGTTAGTTAGTTAGGTAGTTAGTTAGTTAGTTAGTTAGTTAGTTAGTTAGTTAGTAGTTAGTTAGTTAGTTAGTTAGTTAGTTAGTTAGTTAGTTAGTAGTAGTTAGTTAGTTAGTAGTAGTTAGTTAGTTAGTTAGTTAGTAGTTAGTTAGTTAGTTAGGAGTTAGTTAGTTAGTTAGTTAGTAGTTAGTTAGTTAGTTAGTAGTTAGTTAGTTAGTTAGTTAGTTAGTTAGTTAGTTAGTTAGTTAGTTAGTTAGTTAGTTAGTTAGTAGTTAGTTAGTTAGTAGTTAGTTAGTTAGTTAGTTAGTTAGTTAGTTAGTTAGTTAGTTAGTTAGTTAGTTAGTTAGTTAGTTAGTAGTTAGTTAGTTAGGTAGTTAGTTAGTAGTTAGTTAGTTAGTTAGTTAGTTAGTAGTTAGTTAGTTAGTTAGTTAGTTAGTTAGTTAGTTAGTTAGTTAGTTAGTTAGTAGTTAGTTAGTAGTAGGTAGTTAGTTAGTTAGTTGTTAGTTAGTTTGTTAGTTAGTTTAGTTAGTTTAGTTAGTTAGTTAGTTAGTTAGTTAGTTAGTTAGTTAGTAGTTAGTAGTTAGTTAGTTAGTTAGTAGTTAGTTAGTTAGTTAGGTAGTTAGTTAGTTAGTTAGTTAGTAGTTAGTTAGTTAGTTAGTAGTTAGTTAGGTAGTTAGTTAGTTAGTTAGTTAGTTAGTAGTTAGTTAGTTAGTAGTTAGTTAGTTAGTTAGTTAGTTAGTTAGAGTTAGTTAGTTAGTTAGTTAGTAGTAGTTAGTAGTTAGTTAGTTAGTTAGTAGTTAGTTAGTTAGTTAGTTAGTAGTAGTTAGTTAGTAGTAGTTAGTAGTTTAGTTAGTTAGTAGTTAGTTAGTTAGTTAGTTAGTTAGTTAGTAGTTAGTTAGTTTAGTTAGTTAGTTAGTTAGTTAGTTAGTAGTTAGTTAGTTAGTTAGTTAGTTAGTTAGTTAGTTAGTTAGTTAGTTAGTTAGTTAGTAGTTAGTTAGTTTAGAGTAGTTAGTTAGTTAGTTAGTTAGTTAGTTAGTTAGTTAGTTAGTTAGTAGTAGTTAGTTAGTTAGTCGTTAGTTAGTTAGTTAGTTAGTTAGTTAGTTAGTAGTTAGTTAGTTAGTTAGTTAGTTAGTAGTTAGTTAGTTAGTTAGTTAGTTAGTTAGTTAGTTAGTAGTTAGTTAGTAGTTAGTTAGTTAGTTAGTAGTTAGTTAGTTAGTTAGTTAGTTAGTAGTTAGTTAGTAGTTAGTAGTTAGTTAGTTAGTTAGTTAGTTAGTTAGTTAGTTAGTAGTTAGTTAGTAGTTAGTTAGTTAGTTAGTTAGTTAGTTAGTTAAAGCAAAACTTATATCTCTTCTGTCTACATATCACGATATTTACATCGGATCTTGTGGAACAAACCACCATCTATGTATACGATCAAACTACCTCTTCGATCTTCTACAAGATGTAGGTCACCTCTAAGATCATCTATGCCTACACACAAATATTTCTTATTCTTTGTTTATATTGCGCTGAGTGCACTAACCGATTGAACTTTTAACGAAACCTTTACTTGTAAATAATTTATTAAATTTGAATTGATTTGAATCACATTTGTATTAACAACAAATACACAAATTAAGTAGTCGCAATTGTCAAAGTGACAAAACTAATATAATTTATAAAACTTAGAAATTCATCAAAAAATGAATGTCTTTAAAATAAGATGGGAAATAAATGACATTAGTTCAATTTCAATTTAAAAAAAATTATTTAACTAAATTATTTAAAATCTTTTTTTGCAAACATTTTAAGGTGGCGCCTATTTATAATTAAATTTTCTTTTTTCTCAGTTTTAGTAATATGTTTTCTTTTCTTTATTTTTATAAAAGTGTAAAACGTCAAAACATCTGTTATACAATTATTTTTTCTTAAGTAATTATTAAATGCAAATAAATAATAGAATGATGTTTTAATTTGTTAAGATGAATAACAAGAAATATTTACATTTATATTACTCTTGATCTCTGACGTTAGAGAGCAGTTATCTAGTGGAAAATTTTTAAAAATATTTATAATGAGCCATTCTGATGATTGAGATGTCATGTGCAGGGTAAATAGAGCATTACCGTGTATATAGTAGTGCAATTTTATTAGGATTTAACCCTTTTAGCACCTAGGGTTAATTATTATACGATATTTAATATAAGTTAGAACCAAAGTATACTAGACTAGACTGTATACAGACTAGACTATAAACCAGACTAGACTACTACTAGACTAATAGACTAAATACTAGACTATAGACTAAAGTCTAGTCTGATTTATAGACTATAGACTAGACTATAGACTAGACTATAGACTAGACTATAGATAGACTATAGACTAGACTATAGACTAGACTATAGACTAGATATAGACTAGACTATAGACTGGACTATAGACTAGATATAGACTAGACTATAGACTAGACTATAGACTAGACTATAGACTAGACTATAGACTAGACTATAGACTAGACTATAGACTAGACTATAGACTAGACTATAGACTAGACTATAGACTAGACTATAGACTAGACTATAGACTAGACTATAGACTAGACTATAGACTAGACTATAGATAGACTAGACTAGACTATAGACTAGATATAGACTAGACTATAGACTAGACTATAGACTAGACTATAGACTAGACTATAGACTAGACTATAGACTAGACTATAGACTAGACTATAGACTAGACTATAGACTAGACTATAGACTAGACTATAGACTAGACTATAGACTAGACTATAGATAGACTATAGACTAGACTATAGACTAGACTATAGACTAGATATAGACTAGACTATAGACTAGACTATAGACTAGACTATAGACTAGACTATAGACTAGACTATAGACTAGACTATAGACTAGACTATAGACTAGACTATAGACTAGACTATAGACTACTATTAGACTAGACTATAGACTAGACTATAGACTAGACTATAGACTAGACTATAGACTAGACTATAGACTAGACTATAGACTAGACTATAGACTAGACTATAGACTAGACTATAGACTAGACTAGACTATGGACTAGACTAGACTATAGACTGACTATAGACTAGACTATAGACTAGACTATAGACGGACTATCACTAGACTATAGACTGGACTATACATTAGACTATAGACGGACTATACACAGACTATAGACTAGACTAGACTATATATAATCCATATTGAATCCAAATAAAGATTTTGCATACAAATTTTCAAAAATTTTGTACCCTATTTTAAATTTAAACATTATTTTTCCCCCTTTCTAGCGATACGGAAACCCTAATCCATCTGCTCAAGGGTTCATTGGGTTCCGGTATTCTGGCTATGCCTATGGCATTCCTCAATTCCGGTCTATGGTTTGGTTTAGTCGCCACCTTCTTGTCGGTGCCATTTGCACATACTGCGTACACATTCTGGTTAAATGTGCACATTCTGTGCAGACGTCGTAAGATACCC